TAAAAGCCATACACAAATTCCAGGATTTGTACATGTTCTTCAAATCGGGTGAAAAATGTCAAAGACTACTTTTTGTACAGGCTAAAGTGCAATCTATGACCTCAACAGAAAAAATCCTGAAGCTTGTCAGAATTTTTTCTAAGTAATGATCTTTAACTAAGATTTAATCAAAACTTAAATTACTGATGGACATGTATTTCCTTCTATTGGACTACAAGAAAAGATTCCTATTTTGCTTCCTATTTAATTTTTCCCCAATAAGACCACTGAAAAAGCTTTTTGTGTTTAACCACCATTAATTCCACATAACATACTCAGCCCCTCTGATTAGACACTGTTCACTCTTCTACTCTAAAAAAGCAGGAGAAAGAATTTAACTCACTCTTCGTTGCTTTTGCTCACTGTTCATCTGTATAAAAAGGAACAGAAAATCATAATGTGTTAAAAACAAACCAACAAAAAACCCAGAAATATAAAATTTAACAATTTTAAAGCCTTTTTAAATAAAGACTTTACTCCGTAGATATGCAAGTATCAATTTCAATGGGACTACCTGAGCACATAAATACATTTATGAATTACTAGGGATTGAGGTAAGTATTTTTAAGTAAATACTAATAACAAAGAACAAAACGGGGAACAGTTAAAATATTTAAAAAGTACTTTCTCACAGTGGAAGGCAGTTCTGGGATAGGAGGTACAGGATCTCTGTGATATTTTTCTTCCATGGATACACGATAGACTTCTAAAGCTCGATCAATTCTAAAGTAAAACACAGGGCAAAAAGTGCAGAAAAACTGCAAATAACACATTAAAAATAATGCTACCATTCTAATTGATGTAACCTATTTTTTTCATGTTTACCAACTCTTTGATCACTAAAAGGTAAAGCTGCCTTTGCATACTCTGTCTTCTCTTTATATGAGATATAAAGAAATATATTCTCTTTATATATACTCTGTCTCTTCATATGAGATAGATACACTTATCTTGGCCAAAATCACAGTATATATTTCCCTTGATTCACTTCATCCAGCTGCTCAGTGTTCCTGTTAGGATTATATCTTACTTCTCAACCAACCACAACAGGTTTTGTCCAACTGTATTATGGAAAGAAAAAAAAAAAAAAGTGCAGAACAAAACTCCGAAAGCTGTTTAAGACCAGCTCTTTTTTACTGCCTGTGGTTATAAATTGCTACATAACTATCAGAAAACTTTTAATGGTTCATGTTGGCATGTCCTGCTGACCTTACACATTAAAACATTCCAGTCCATCCTTTTGGGATACACTCTGTATTTATCTTCCAAAGAGTATTTCAGCCTTATCTCAATACATCTCAGCTAAAAACTCCCAAGTGGAAGTTAGAATGACAATTTCAAGTATGCACTCAAATCATTACTTCATGGAAACTCATTTAAAGGACAGTTCACTTACAAAAAAATGAAAGTGAATCAATGTGGCAGCAGAATATTCACTTTCTGTCAGTGGCTGGTCAGCAGTCATCTCACTGCACAGTAAGTTACCACTACAATACAGTTGACATTTTCAGCATACTGAACACCGGCATTCTAAAAACTGCACTCTGCTACTGCAAGTATCTTTGAAAAATCAGGATTTACTTTCCAAGAGCTAAAATTAAAAGACTTCTTGTATGTTAGATTTCTATTAATACTTTAAAGGCTGTTATAAAATAAAGGAAGCATATTCACTTTTAACTTCTATATAGATTAACTGCAACTGATTGTTGCTACCATTATTTAAAAAAAAAAAAAAAAAAAAAAAAAAAGAGAGAGCACAAAAAAGGAAACTCTCCCTCATTTATCTTTGGTACAAATCAGTTTTCCTTCTGTGATAAATTCTTCTTAGACTTTGATCTTGCAACTTACCTTGCAGATCTGCAATCTTGCAACTATACCACTGTATAGCTCCAGTGAAGCCAACAATCTGGGATGCATACAAGTATCTTTTGAGAAAAAACAACCTGTAATACTTGGCCCCTTAAAAATTCAGCCACTGAAGTGGAATATCAATTGCATAAGAATTAGTTGAGTAACTACCATTATTTAAAAAAAAAAAAAAAAAAAAAAAGAGAGAGCACAAAAAAGGAAACTCTCCCTCATTTATCTTTGGTACAAATCAGTTTTCCTTCTGTGATAAATTCTTCTTAGACTTTGATCTTGCAACTTACCTTGCAGATCTGCAATCTTGCAACTATACCACTGTATAGCTCCAGTGAAGCCAACAATCTGGGATGCATACAAGTATCTTTTGAGAAAAAACAACCTGTAATACTTGGCCCCTTAAAAATTCAGCCACTGAAGTGGAATATCAATTGCATAAGAATTAGTTGAGTAACGGGTTACCATCACCAAATCCAGCAAATGGAATCACCAAAAACCCACACCAACAAAAATAAAATTATTGATCTCAATGATGATACTTAAAATGGGTTAAATAAAGACTGTATGTAGGTCTTTCATTTCCATTTCTTCCTCTGAAGGCCAAATAATTTTTTTCTGTGCTTTTTAATTCTATCCAATACCATTAGATTTCCTTACCTTTTTAATCTTTTACATGAAAATGCAAGTTCCTATAAACTTCTTAATACTACTACAAACAATGCAACCTTAGCCCACATAACTCCCATGCTTTGTCAACATAATTAACATATCTAGAGTTTCTTCAGTGAGTTCCTGAAAATAATGTAGATATTTCAGGAATAAATTTCTATCAAAATAATAATTAAAAAAACCTCCAAGTTTCTACTAGACCTACAAAAATTACATGAAAGCAGCCTTTGCCTATTGTCTTTCCTCCTTCGCAACTGAAAATCTTGAAAGACAATTTAATGTGAATTTACCAATCATACTGGCAGCTCTGCTCTTCTTGCAGTGACATGGATCACTAAGCTCAGTAGCAAATGCATTAAGATAGTGACAAAGAAGCCTGTTAAAAGTAGACTCACATTTGGATCATTCCTACCAAAGCAGGCAAATAATCCAGACTTGGATTCTCTTTGAAAAATGTTTTCATAAAGAGAAAGGATTTTTTTCAGTCTATCATAACAGCATTCAAAATGTGAACGTCACTTTCTCCTCACAACTCATCCCAACAAACATACCTCAAGCAGATTTTGGGTGCTGTAAAAGAAAAAAATACTAGAGATCCCATCAAATGTTCTTCTCTTATTAATGATTTTAGATGGAAAGCATTCAGCACTGCAACAGTGACATCAAAAAACCTCTAAAATTAACACACACCATTACTTTTTCTCAGATGTCAAATGTGCAATGTTTCTTTCATTTGAATTTCAACATTTCTTGAATTACATGAAACTCACAGTAACTGATTAAGCATCTTTTGCTGTTCATTGCATCTTCGGTATGTCAATAGTTTATTCTGCAATGGTGAAATATCAGATGTGACCGATGAAGGTAAAACAGTGGGAAGAAACAAAGTTCTCAAAGTCTTTTTGTGGGAACGTGCTCCATCCGAGTGCGGCATCTAAAACCACAACAAAAATGAGATTCTAGAATACAATTAATTCTGTCCAGAAAGCAGTTTAACAGATGCATATATTAAGTTGAATTTACATAAAACACAAAATGAGGTAGCTTTAGGGATTTCCACAATCTAAGTTTCACTTTCAGAAAATGGAAAAATGCAGTGTATGCTAAAATCACAAAGTTCAACATAAAGTGTGTACATACAAAGTCTACAGTAATAAAAAAGCAATGGTATAGTTCCATTAACTCAAGATTGCATAAAAGTAAATTTCTGTTACAATTCTCTTTAAGTGCTAATATAGCAACTGTACACAGCACAAAAGACACCACAAACACAGCCTGTTAAACCCCCCAGCAGACTGCACCCAACCAGCCCTGATGTAGGCACATTTCCTGTTCTGATGAGGCCTGAGACAGTGTTGCTGTTCCTGTGGTTTCAGTAGGTGATCACCTACTCCTTTTTGTCTGGTCACTAAAAAAAAGTCACTGCCTCATTAAGACCACAGATAACATGGAACAAATTTGTACAAGTGTGGCCCCCTAAAGTTTTGAGGAAAAAAAGAAGTCCAAAAGTACTCCTGATACTTGGTATTACTGTAAAGATAAAGCTGCGGCAAATTTTCAATTACAAGATCCCAGAATTCTACTGAAGTGAAAGGCAATCTTTAAAGGAAACAAAACAAGGTCATAATGACATCAACCTAGACTTACAGCTTCACCACAATGTCAAACAAGCGAGACCAAAATTATAAGAAAGTTATTCTTTAGACACTATATCACTGTTGAATAGAGACAAAAACCACAGGACATTATAAAAAATGCATTTCTATAAAAACAGCACCCTATTCTTCTTTTCATGTTTCTCAAGGAAGAAATAATTAAGCTTATTTTCTATGTGCAAAGTAGTCATTAGAAGTCCTACTCCATACATGGAAAAGTTAAGAAACTGCATGATCATCTTGTAAAACTGGAGACTATTCACAATTAATTTTGTGTTGTTGAAAGTCTTCTGGTGAATTTAGCAGGCTGCTTGAGAACACTATCTTTTATAGAAAGATATATTCCATCGATAGACCCCAGTGACAGTGTTTTCTGTAGAGCACAACTTCATTTCAACCGCCTGTCTCAAAATGTTTATCTGAGCTCCCAGAACAAGTGCCTCTGTAAATACCAAGCAGGTGCTTGACGGTACTTTACTTTTTACTCTACAGCAACTCTGGACTCTCTAGATAATGTTCACATACACTATGCCAAGGTGTGCATCTTCAGAAGCAAGGCCAAATTGAGCAAAGACTAAACTAAGATTATTAAAATGAAAGAGGAAGGAAGGCGTTAATGCAGCTGAGGGCTGCACCTGGCTTGTGGATGCGGATTCCCAATGAAAAGAAGGCTTGTAATTTGGTGGTGTGGATGTGGGATTCATGCTAAGCAGGTGGGAGTTTTGGTTCTGACCACAGCTGTGGGTAGTTGGGCTATGCAACAGGAAAGCGGAGATGGGTATGGGTTTGAAATGGGAATCCTAGTTTGGGGGTGGGATGAAGATGTGGAGCAGGTAATGGGGTAATCACAGTTAAAGAAACTTGACAACTAAAGTTTCATCATCACCACATATAAAGACAGAAAAATATGGAGAAAAAAAACAAAAGGAAAAGAAATAAAAAAAGTTATTGTCTGGGCTCAGGTTCACGAAAACACTACCCTTCTGTAGTGGCTTAAGCCTTGCCTGTGGCTGAGCACGGCTATCCCAACAGATTGACAGTAGGGTTCCCCTGGAAACATGACACACAAACTCACAACTGCATTCCAACAGGTTCTCACAGGGGAACAGAAATCCTACCTCCTAAATTAGCGGTATGTCCTAGAAACGAATTAAAACGGGTGGAGGCATCGAAAGAAATAAAGCTCAGCTAAAGTAAGCGGAGTCGGTATAACGTTTTGCTGGCGCCTCCTCACCCCAGCAGAGCCCGGGGACACAGCCCTGTGGGTGCCGAGGGAAGCGCAGCATCACCCCCTGCCACAGCCACCGCCCCGGCCCCACAGAGGGCCGCCCCGCCGCCCGCGCTGCCCTCACCTCTCCCGCGGCCGCGGTGCCGGGGCGAGCCGCCGGGCAGGACGGCGGCGCGGAGGCGACTCAGGACAACAGCGGGGTTGCCACGGCGCCGAGGACGGGCGTCGGCACGGGGTGAGGGGCGGCTCCCTGTCCCCGGGAGAGGTGGTCCTCTCGGTGTCGGTCCCGGGAGAGGCCCGCCCACCCACCGCCCCAGCACCGCCCACCTTCCCTGGCGCCATTTCCAACGCACCGGAGGGTTCAAGGCCACGTCAACCAGGCGCACCCCAAATGGGGGTCTGCACCCCTCATCCCCTCCCGCCCCCGGGCATCAGCCGCCGTCCTGCTCAGCTCCCGACAAACCCGGTAACTTCACAGCCAGACCTTTCACCGCTCTCAGAGCAGGTATTTTCCCTTGCAAATAAAGCATCGCGCTGCCCTCAGGAGGGAGCTGTGCCTGCCTGGAGCCCTACCCTTCACAGGCTGCACCTGCCCGGGGCTGCGGGCTCCTTCAACGCCTGATCATTCACCGATGGGGTCCTGCTCGTGCTTCCTACTATCCAGACTACTGGTGCACTCTTGTGATTAAAAAAGAAGCAGAGACTTGAAGGGAAAATTATCTTACCTTAACTTTCCTAGTCTGCCACAGGGCTCGCTACAGCCCGAGCAGGTCAGTAAGTCTCTCTGCTGCAGCGCTCTGCCGGCACAAAGCACAGGAAAACCTCCTTGTTCCAGCCCACAGGAAGAGCGCTTAAAAAACTGCAATACCCTCACGCATCAGATAGCTGTTGCTAAGCTTCTACATTTTGTAAACCTATGAATAGAAATTTTAAGAGATTCCAGAGATTTACCACCCACTTGACCACATTTGACAAAGAGGCGTTTAAAATCCTAACTTCATGTCAGTGTGGGCAGAGCCCCACGCGCAGACTGCAAAGAACAACAGCTGGATGCAATTTTAGCTCTTTTTTTTCTGAAGTCCTAGGCACCTTCCCAAGGCGTTTTACTAGCCCGGGACTATTCAGTTTGGAGTTTCAACCCAACCCCTTTGTCAGGCGGGCGGGCGGACCCGACACCTTTCCAGAGGGGAGGGGACTTCCCCACTGAGGGAGCAAACCCGGCTCTTCCTCCGGCCCGTCTCACTTACGCCGGGCGGGCGGGTCAATCCCCGGGAAAGGGGCGAGGCACGGCGCCGGCACAGCAACGAGCACGGCGCTCGGTCGCGGTGAGGCGCTGCCGCCCACCGCCTCAGGCGACGACGGGCGCGCGCGGCGGCCGTTGGGCGTTGAGCGCCTCGCGGCGGCCGTTGGGCGCGCGCGGCGGCCGTCGGGCGTTGAGCGCCGCG